GAAGGCGTCCATGCAAGGGGAGGGTCCGTGGTGGCCTGGGGATGGGGAGGGACTGTGGTGGCCCAGTGTGGGGCCTCGGGCTGGGCAGGGTGGGAGAGGGTAGCTGGCACTGGCAAAGTGTACAGGCCTGGCCCGGAGGGCATGTTCCATAGATGTGCTGAATGAGTGGCGCTGGGGGACAGCGGTGTAACCACAGAACAAAGCCCCGACACTTGATGCAGGCCAGAGGCTGAGCTTCACTCTGAAGGCCGTGGGACACAGACGGGCATCAGTGGCACTGACGGAGCATGGCCAGGCCCACTGTGCCAGGAGAGTCTGCAATGGAGGAGGCGGAGGAGCCAGACTCAAGGCCCCGTAAGTGAGGGGGCAGCACAGACTTGCAGAAATCGCCAACTGAGCAGAAAGGCCCCATCACCGACGCCTGGCCCTTCTCTTCTCTTTAGGCACGGCCATAACCCCAGCCACAGCTTCACCCCTGGTCGTGGCCAGCTTGAGCCTGGGCCTGTTTTTCCCAACAGTCCAGCACAAGAGGAGCTTCTCCTTCCCCGGTCATCTGTCAACAGGACACAGCCTCCCCCCACAACCACCCTCCGAGGCCCTGAAGCCCATACCTTGTCCTCCCTGAGTGTCACCAGCGCCTCCGGGAGCCCCACACATGTGCAGCAGCGTCAGTCATCTGTGCTTGGCGGAGGGAAAGAATGCTCACTTAGGACACACACAAGCACATTGGGGACAGTGTGCACATATTTTTATTTAATTTTAAAATAATTTATATCCCTTTGAAACAAAAATCTGAAGCTAAAATACGTCCATCTATGTTCTCTTAAATAAAATAGTTGGCAAAGAGCACTGTGGAATGCTCCGGGAGGGCTCTGGGTCTGTTAAGTGTTAGCAGTGCTGACTCTGAGACGGTGCTTTCCCAGGACAGTCACCCGGTCCCCAAATTGCAGCACAGAGGAAGGGCTGGCACAGGCTGGAGCCTTAGTAAACCAGGAAGAGGAGACCCCCCAGACTCACGAGAGCAGAAACAGAGAACACTGCACTTGCTGACCCGTAGAGGGTAGAGGGGTCGCTGCAGGCACCAGGGAACAGAAGATAGAAGGAAAATGATCACGCAGGCAGAATGCCACTTCCCAGAGTCTGCCCCCCAGGTGCACAGTCGCTGAGTCCAGGTTTCTTGGTTTTGCTCAGGGCCTCGTGCTAACGCGCTGAGAGCGGCCAGCCCTGGACAAGAGGAGTCACCTTAGTAGAGTTTGAGGCCAGGCACATCTCCAAGGGAATGGATCCTTCCCCTAGATCTAGACGCTGGGACTTCAGCTTTGATTGGAAGAGAAGGAAGAGACTGGGATACGGTGCCGGGGCAGGAGCGAGGAAAGGTCAGACAGCACTTGGCGGGCCGCCCCGCATGTCCCTGGTAGAGACAGCGTATGGCTGTGTCTGCAGGCNTAATTTTAAAATAATTTATATCCCTTTGAAACAAAAATCTGAAGCTAAAATACGTCCATCTATGTTCTCTTAAATAAAATAGTTGGCAAAGAGCACTGTGGAATGCTCGGGGAGGGCTCTGGGTCTGTTAAGTGTTAGCAGTACTGACTCTGAGACGGTGCTTTCCCAGGACAGTCACCCAGTCCCCAAACTGCAGCACAGAGGAAGGGCTGGCACAGGCTGGAGCCTTAGTAAACCAGGAAGAGGAGACCCCCAGACTCACGAGAGCAGAAACAGAGAACACTGCACTTGCTGCCCCGTAGAGGGTAGAGGGGTCGCTGCAGGCACCAGGGAACAGAAGATAGAAGGAAAATGATCACGCAGGCAGAATGCCACTTCCCAGAGTCTGCCCCCCAGGTGCACGGTCGCTGAGTCCAAGTTTTTTGGTTTTCCTCAGGGCCTCGTGCTAATGCGCTGAGAGCTGGCCAGCCCTGGACAAGAGAAGTCACCTTAGTAGAGTTTGAGGCCAGGCACATCTCCAAGGGAATGGATCCTTCCCCTAGATCTAGACGCTGGGACTTCAGCTTTGACTGGAAGAGAAGGAAGAGACTGGGATACGGTGCCGGGGCAGGAGCGAGGAAAGGTCAGACAGCACTTGGCGGGCCGCCCCGCATGTCCCTGGTAGAGACAGCGTATGGCTGTGTCTGCAGGCTGGCCTGGCACGAGCAGCGGGCTCTCCCCTAGGGGCACTCCCTGCAGGTGGGGGCACTGGAGGTATGTGGGAATACGCAGATGGTCATGTCCCCTTGTCCTTCCTCTTGCTCGTTCTCTGGCTGCTGAGCTCACCCAGCTTCTTATCCAGCTTCCTCTGCAGCTGGGCCCTCTTGGCTGGGTCAAGGGACCTGTCCTTGGTCCCACTGCCGGCATAGATCACGCCTTCCCGGCTGATTCTCTGACGGGCGTGGGCACGAGCCCTGTCACCACAGCCATGGATCTGGGGAGGAGAGGAGAGTCAGTGCTGGGCTGGGGAGAGAAGACCCTGCAGTTCTGCCTGTAAAGAGGTCGGGGACCATAGACAGGAGCCCCAGGGTGAGACCATGGAGAGGCTCCCTCTGCCTCCCCTACACCCATACTTCATCCCGCAGGTTCCTGAGGGTGCAGGGGTCTGCACCCTGATGGGGCTGGAGCACTCTGAGCATGTAGAAAGGAAATGGCACCACCCTGACTGATCACACAGTCCCTGTGGCCACTCACGCTGCCTCCCAGCCTTAATTCTTCTCCACACTGCAACTTGGCGACATCAGGGCCCTGCTGACACCTGCAGTGCTCCTCGCCACCTTGAAGATGTCTACCTCCTGAGAGCGGCTTGGCCTCACACTCTGCTCCCAGCTCCCTGCCTGGCCCATGGTCCT